GGTCTGGCCACGCCTTCCGACCGCACTCAAGATTCCTGCCTTACTTACGCATCGGATTTACTTCCCTAAGCAAGATGTGTCTACCACCAGCCTATGGTGGATGAAGGAAATCAGGAAATCTTGCACCACTTAGGATCCTTAATGCTGCCTTTGCTTGGATTTTTATCTATATAGGGTGGTGCAAGATTTTTCCTCCACAGTTCCATGCAGCATCAGATTACCTCTTGTGTCATGGAGTTACCTGCACTGCACACTTGCCTGTGAAGCATGTACTTAGTGACGCTTTCATTGTAAACTCTGAGTCCCAGACCAACCAAATCTGTAATTTGTCAAACATCGATTGGGAACCGCCAAATCTGAACTCCTTATCGGCCTCCTTTGTGTGGGTGTTCTTCCACCTTGTTCTCTGCAGAATTGTCCTTCTCGGCCCAGGTGGGCTACCTGGGTCAATCCCAGAGGGGTTCGCTGTGCATCGTGCACCACAACGGAGATGGCATTACCTTCCGCTACAAGGTTCTTTACGTTGAATTGGGGTTCTTCCAGCTCTGCAGTTGGTGCTGGTAGTGAGTTGGTTTGGCTGAGTTGTTGCAGTGGAGCACGGCCTGCCTTACCACAATTTCTTGGAAGAACATTGTCGAGAACCTGGAAAACGTGTGGTGTTTCCCCTCCTTTTTGAGTCGTGGGAAGCTTTCGTTTCTGCCAGGCACTAATAAAGAACGCGGAGGGCCAATGGGTGCAATGGGGCCAAGAAGGCAATGAATGCCACACTGGAACCCTGGCGTTTACTTGAGGTAGAAGTCAGAGGAAGGGTGTTGTTTTGATTTACCTCAGGTGCCACTAGGCATATGGTAGCCACTTGGATCCGAGTTTTTGGGTTGTCATGTGTTTATCCACCCTCCCCCCCCCAGGGCCTGATGGCCTGATTTCGATTATTGAGGCCCTGCGCTACGCAGAACCCTTCCGCCCTTCCACTGTCACAACTATGTGTGCAGGTACCATACAAGGGTGGCAGGCAGCTGCACCAGTGAAATGCTGCATCCTCCAGTTACTCTTTTGCCACTTCCGGCCGTAATCGGGCACAACGTGGGATTAGGGTTATCCAGCTTGCCTCAGTCAGCTGCCACCTGAAGTCCAATCCTTTTTTCGTCTCGGAATCATACCGGGCAAGAGGCTGCAACAGAACACATTCACCACAGAACCTTGAATTCTAAATTCCGCCCTGAGCTAGCCAAGTCCACGATTCCTCAAGTCTTAGTGTGAAGCCTCACTACCGCAAGCTCCTAAACACTCAACATCCCGAATGTCTGAAGAGCTAATCACTTATCCGCAGCATATTTGCAAGGCTTAAGATCACCAGTTCCTACAGTAGATCCCAGGAGTGGACACTTCCGGACGAGCTTTTGGCCCTGATGTCTCTTCTTCGGGGTCGAACACATCTTTTTTTTTTGTGTGTGCTTTTGGTCTTGAGATATTGGCCCTAAAAAGCACTAGAAGGCAGATCTGCCAACAGAAGTTGAGGGGGTTTTGGGGTTCCGGGTTTAGGTTGTAGGGTTGAGGTAGTCCAGCCTTTCTCACAGCTCAAGCAGGAAATTGGGTTCATGTCAAGGGCAACCGTTTCAGACATTCGAGTCACTCTTGAGGCTTGTCCTCAACTTCCAACCTTGTTAGACCCGACGGCCTTCTTTCTTGAACCATACAATCCCGAACCCCAACACCCTAGAACCCCAAACCACTCCGGCCTCAAAAACTCAAACCAGACCATGCCATGAGCAAATACTTCAACCTTCGACCGGATTCTATTACATACCATTGCGCGTGATAGCGGCGGCATCGGTGAAAATGGAGGTGGAACAGGAGGTGGTGGTTGGTGTTGGTGGGTGATGTGGTTGGTGGCGGCGGCGGTGGTTTTGTTGTTCCTTGAATCCTGAAGCCCGAAAGCCTAGGTGTACTTCGCAGAGAGCACAGAGAAGGCTCCACACAGCATGGGCATTTTCGGCATGAGCCACGAGGACTGGCGCTCGCATTGAGGTTCTCTGCGCTGAGGTTTTTGTAGCTTCCGATACTTGAGGCCCTAAACGTAAAGTGTAAACTGTGGGGATAAGGATCTCAAGAAGAGCATCCCAAACTTTCCGAAACTTCAACTTGGAACTGTGCATGGAGTTCCTCCGTCTAGCTTGAATGAGATTTCAGGGTTCAGGTCGTTCAGGATCAACGAGGATTTCGATTCTAGTAGCCGAATTGCTGGGCTTGCAGGATTCAACCTTTGGTCCAGAGCATTGACAGAGGGATAAGGCCATTGGGACTTGGATTCTTGAGCTCTGATGGTCCGTTGGAGTTTTTTCTTGTGACGTTCAAATGTATGTCATTTGATTTACGAGTCCTTCCTGCATATGTCACAAAGCATACGAGGCAACACCCACTTTCTGCAGCATCTGATCTGCAGACGCATCCGCGCAGACACCACTATTTAGTTACTTGCGCTTTCTGTCTGCACCAGACCCCCACATGCAAATTGATAGAACTGTTTGGGAAGCAACGTGTTGACCATGAGTCTCTGCATTCTCCGGTGCAGACATTTTGCGGCATGTGGTGTGGGAGCAACTTCTGATCCTGAAGTTCCGAAACCCTGATAAGGCTTGGCCCGAATACCTCGCCATCCCCAGCCTCTGCAGAGTAGCCTGCAACCGTACAAGGAGAGCCTCCCAAAACATAAGCTCCAAGCTGCATGATTCACGCCGCCTGAATTTTCCTGTTCTTTGTGCGTACTCTCTACATGCCTATGTTTTTGCGGCACACATGATCCGGGAGTGCTGGCTGTAGGATCGTCATGCACTTCCTACGATGTGTAGGCAGCTGGAGATGGACCACTAAAGACCTGTTTTTTCGCACATGCCTAAACTTTAAACCTAACCTGAGTGTATCTGCCCAAATCATCTTGCTACCCTTGCTCTTATTGTTGGGCCCTCCATTTGACCAATTCGAAGTCCGACATCATCGCAGAATCCTAATCTCAAACAGTAAGAGCCAAACCTGAAGTCCATCAGTCCTTAATCCTCTGATCATTGACCCTTCACCTGGAAAACATCCGAAAAGCGAAATCTGAAGCACAGGAGCTGCTAAAGTCTTCCTGGATTGTGGACGGATCGCTCACTGTGAAGTTCGAGCTAGAGGTCCGTCCCAACGTGGAGCCCAAGACCTGCTTTACTGATCTGATGTTTGGGGTTTCGGGTCGGGTTAATTTTTTTCTGGAATTACCAAAGCCGTTTATAATCTTCGTGTATTACTGAACATTAAATATGAACGCAAGAGGCCTCCAACGCCTGTGTGATAAGTATAGATGGGGTTGGGATTACGGGGAGTATGGGTGGAGTTTTACCAAGTTGTGGACTTGTCTGTTTATATACCCCGAAGCCCCTGCTGCAACCTCATGTGCTTTCCGATATCTACTGGCCTGGTCTAGAAAAGCATGCGAGGAACATGAGCGTGCTTTCAGGAATCCCGCACCTGTGTCCTAAGCTATGTCTACTGCTTCTGTTCAGCCCAAAGCTTCGCCTTCGAGTTGTGATTGTGCCGTTCCTCGGCAACGCCAACCCTAAGCCAATCCCCTATATACCCCGCGTTAGCCCTAATGCCTCAACACAGAAATGCTTGGCGCTCAGTCTCAAGCGCGGTAACAGGCCCTTTTTCTTCCGTTCCCAAAGTTCCAGAATCAAGATCCTAAAAGCAAAGCATAGTACAAACAGCAACAATGCTGATGATCACAAAGAACATGCCCAACATGATCACAGCAAGAACTGCCTCCTGTTGCCACCTTGTGCTTGCGCTGCTGCTGCTGCTGCTGCTGCTGCTGCTTCTACTACGAACTCTGGACACTGGATAATGAAAATCGCTTGACCTCTAGAAGCAGTTAGTACGAATAGCAGCAATAGCTAGTGGCAAAGGCAGTCGTGCAAGCGAATATGCAAGTAGCTTGCCATCAAGGAGTTGGATCCGATGCCCCTTCGGAAACCCGCCATCGAAGTGCCCGCGCAGTCGCTGTCCAATGACCTCATGTCTATGTTTGAGGATGGAACGGACTTGACAGCACTGGTGTTGCTTTGCGGGGCTTTGCTTTGGGGATGCTGACGGTTTTGTAAGCTTGGATGGACCGTGCTGTTGCCGTGGTTGTCCTGCACGCCAAAAGGAGGTCAAGGATGAAAAATCAAACTCTCAAGTATGACGCATTTCCTGCGCACGCCCCCGCACCCAAAAGCAGCCAAAAGCCGCCAGAAGTGGCGCGGAAAAAAGACAAGCCCCACTTTCTGCTCTTGCATTCCAGGTTCTTGGATGTTTTACACGCTAGCAAGGGGAGGCTTCATGAAAGTCGAGGGAAAATGGGCTGTTGCGGGGGGTCTGCGGCACGTGTGTCATGGACATGTTGAGCGTCGGCCTGTGTGGATCAAATGCAGATCGCTTGACATGCCAGCAACAGTATTGCCGGATTGCAGTGCAATGCAGCACCCATTCGGCAGTGCTGCTAAATCAGTTCCTAACTCCAACTTGCTGTTTGTACATCAGACCTGCTGTGATTCCGCAGCTTCCTTCCAAGTTGCCCTTTGCCACAAGGATGGCAACCGAGGCCTGCCCGATGTCTGTGGTAATGAGAGCATAGCCGCAAAACCAGCGACAGCAGTCACGAGGATTGCGACCCCGACCGACCAGATCCCTGTGGTTGCTGGAACTTTTAACATGTGACCAGATATTGACAGGGTCTCAGGACAACGCCAGTAATACAGATCACGACCCTGACCCCTTCCAAATGGTCCGCAAAACTGTGATTGACTACATATGGAGGAAGTGAGGCCTACGGCCTACGGATGTTCGCGATGGAGCTGTGAGCTTGGCGCGCCTCATGCATGGAGGTGTCTTCAATCGCTAGCTCAAACGCCTCTTAATGTCCTCTTGCTCTGCCTGAGCCAATCTTTCCAGCCAACTGCCTTGCAGCACGTTCTCCCGCGTCGCCACGTTGCAGACTGTGCTCGGCATGGTCGCGGGAACGTTCTCAAGGCCTTGCAGGACTTCGTCCTCTGCAGCTCCCTCCGTTTCAAGTTCGGAGCAGGGACGTCATTTCTATGACAAACCAAACAACAATGACAAACTGCAACAAACGCAGTGCACAGATACCTACCATGCCCAGACTTTCAGCCCCTGCTTCCTGGTCTGCATCCTTCATTGTGGCTCATACAAAGCTCGCAGGTTGGGGTTTTCACATCTTGGTTGGGTTTCGCCCCAAGGGGGTGGGGGGATATTTTTCCAATTCTTTTGCAGGCCCCAACCCTAGCCCTAGACCTCCAAAATATCAAGCTCTGGCAGGATGTAGTCCTGTTTCAGCGACCAACCTGGCAGGAGGGCCGTGCGGCCGACGTCACCTTCTTGGTGCAAGGAGAACACGTCGTGCTAAGTCTAGGTTTTCAGGTTTGGAGGATTAGTTGAAGGGCAAGGTGACAAAGACGACCCCCGATTTTTTTAGGGTGTACGTGCATATGCTGTAGGGACATCCGACCATTACGCCAGATGATGTCATTCCTTTCATGATCCCCATCCCCGGAACCGCCAGACCCATCCCGCCCTTGCAAGGAGAGAAGATCCCAGCTCATTCTCAAGTTCTCTGCGCGAGATCTCAAGTACTGGAGAGGCAGCTGTACAGTGGAATGAAGGACACGGATCCTCAAGTCCGCCTAGCCTGCCTTGAAAGCTTTTTTACAGACAATCGTGTAGACGACAAGCTTGGATTGTTGTGTAACTGGCTCACAGCAATCAGCGCCTTTGTCGCGGCAAAGCGGACATGCGTGGCAACAATATGCATTGCGTGTGTAGAAGTGATGCCAATTTCCTGCTTCACGTTTTGTGCTCGCAACTGCATGCAGAGACGTTGCCATTTCTCATCCTGCCAACCCTATTATGTACCATGCTCGGTAAATCTCGTATGCACGCAAGGCAGTCTGGGTCAAATTTGATATACGTAATTACAGATGTCTTTTGGCTTCAAGGAGTCCATCTCGAAAGAGATCCGTGTAGAAGATACCCAGCCGGCCACTTTTCGGGCCATGCTCAAGTCGCTGGTCCGCAATGTTTACTGAGTCCGGGGCTTTGCGTAAAGGTTGACGAAGGCAAGGCTTCGAACTGAAGACTTGCTGAATAGTGTTTAACGGAAGGTCGATGCAAAACAGCACTCCAAAAGAAAATGAAGTTGCTGAGAGATAGGCTACACGTGAGATGTGGACGATGGTTCATGATGCTTCAGATTTTCCTTTCAATCGTTTGGTTCTCCTTGTGTTGACACAAGGCAAATCTGTGGCCTTCATTTCGATGAGTCCAGAGCACTGCTTACCGTATAGAAAGTGTTTGAACAAAACCGCCGGACTCGCAGGTTTCTTTACACGGATGACCTCTCTATCATCGAGGACAATAATACGATGCAAGCTTTCAATGTTCCAAGAACTTCATTATTCAGGATTGAGAATGCCTGCCTGTGTCATGGTTATCATGTTCGGTAGTTTGCAACATATTCGATGCCAACATATTCGATTGCAAGGGCACGGTGTGACAGGGCAAGCAGGTCCGCAGCAACCGCGACGCAAGCCTTGATGACGTGGGTACCCAACGGAACCAGGTTATCTGTGTTATCGTAGGCAAGGGTAGCAACAGTGATAACAATGCCAAGTGCGCTAGCAATGATGGCATGCGAACCGAAAGCTTGGCAAATGCTGCGAGGATGATCATCAGATGAAGTGCAGCTTCCCTCTTCCAAAACTATGTCGTGCCGAGTTCTGTTTGGGTGGTTGCAACAATCATGGGCCATCGTGGGCCCATGTTTGTTGCACTTCATATTATGACGTTAGATAGTTTCAGCATGCATCATGGACCCTCGTTGCCGCCGCATTGAATCATCATGATATCCATAAATTCTAGATTCCATTATGTGGTTTTCCCTGTAGGACTTGGCAAAGCACGCTCACGATGGCTCGGGGACGGCTTCCTGTGTCAAGTGGAAAATGGCGACGCCGTTTTTACAGAATCTTCTGAGTCTTGTCTGCAGCGCAGGCTTTTTAATTTTTTGCTCTTGTATTCATGGTTTGACACCTTTCGTCCTTTCGTATCTGCAATCGTTGGGCGCCTTGCTAGGCGTCATGCCTTAGGTTATTCTTACATGTATCAGAGACTGTCACTTTCGCAGTGACGTGGTCGCCTTCTTTTGAAGTTTGGCTTGCCTCTGATCTACAGAGGTTGCTTAATGGGCCTTGCCACCAGCAAGGAACATCACTGATGCTGCAAATGGCCTGATTGATACTTTAAAGAGCAGCGCATCTTCTGCCGAGGGGTTTGGCCTGTCAGATTCAATTTGTGTTCGCTGCAGTTGTGGTCACGTTGTTAAAGAAGCAGCATCTTTGTTAGCTTCAGCTGCCAAAGTCTTACTGCTAAGCGGGAGCATCAAAAAACTTCTTCAAACAAGGCTGGTGCAAAGCCTGAATGATGGCTAATCTCATTCCTTCATCCGGTTTGCATATCCATGCTACAATCGACGGTGACACCTCATTCTGGTCGTGCAGGCCGCTGTACTGTGGTAATCTGTGGTACCTGCATCGTCGCAATCTCTAATCCTCCATCACAATATATCAAAGGAGTTCAAGATTAATTAGTGTCACCCTTTGACATATGCCCAAATAGCAAAGCTTCTGCTGCACAAGCTTGCGCTCTAAGCCCAAGGAGTTTAAGCCATCTCTATCAGATCAACCGATTGCGAATCTGGTGTGAGCAGAAGCTGCCTCTTGATGTCAAGTTTCTGGCTCGGGGTTTGGCGCTAAGCGTTGCTAGGGGTTTCGGTTTAGGGCTCATGGCTTAGGGTTGTTAAGGGTTAAGGGCTCAAGGTTGCTCAGGGTTTGAGGGTAGGGTTTGGGTTTCTTCAGGGTTTTGGGTTTTGAGAGTAGATTTCAGCGACTTGGGGATTATCGTGTCGGCAAGGTGTAAGGCAAGGGAGTATCATTTTGGTTGAGTGCAACCTGGAATCACCATCGACATCCCAAGGCTGTTTGTACGTGTAATGTAGTGTCCAAGATTTGCTGTAGCCAAAATGTTAGGTAGCTGGAGGACGTACTTCAAAGAGTACCCGCACAGGCCTCGAATTGTTGAGAAAAGCTCATTTCACAGGGCCCCGGGTGCGCAGCGATCCTAGTGGAAAACCGCCAGTCTCGTTCAATCTAAGGTTACGACTGAGGCCTACTCCTCGCATTTCGAAAACTTGTGCTAGACTCTACTGGAGTATATCAGCGGTCATGCTGGGATTGATTCACCAACATGATAATCCTTATTATACTTGAACATGTTCAGGCTCTTGCAGGGCATATCGAACACTAGAGGTCAGGCAGAAAGATTAGCGCCCAATTTTTTCACCAAGGTGTGACAACATCTCAGCCTCGGAGGTCTTCTCAATCCTTTGCCAGGCAGGGTTTCTAGGTGGTCGTATAGGCATCGTTCTGTTGGTTTTAAAGTTCAGGGTCGTCCTTCCCGGCTTGGGGGTCAAGATTGGGGCTAGTCAAAGGTCCTTGTTGAGCAGCCCACTTGAAGCCCCCACGCTCGTCGTCATCCAGCACCACCTAGAAGCCTAGACATCCGCACCGGGCTGCAGCCGAATGGTTTTCATCTTAATCGTTCAGATCATAGTTGTTCAAGGTTTAGGGCATAACAAATTCAAATATCAAAGGCTGTCAGCGTGAGGGCTATTCCTCGTTATATCCAGGGTTGGAGGTTGGGCCCTTTTGGCTGCTAAGAGAGATTGGTTTGGCTATTTTTTTGCAACCCAGTACGAGTTCATTGGATGGAGGTAAAACCGATTTTGGAAAGTTTCTTCAACCAAGCAAACGAGCTTGCCGACCCAAGGTGCTTTGGTGATGCCAGATTCCTTTTATCAACGGACTATTGACTATTGAGGCTCAAGAACAACAGCACACGTAGTCTTAGAGGTTCAGAGATGTTGCTCTGTTGGCAAGCGGCTTCATCCCTTGGTTTCCTGCAGGAATGCCGCAAAGTCAGGCAGAGCAGGAATTCCATGTTTGAGAGTGCCGGCGGTCAAGACCACCCTTAACTTAGAACCCAAGCCCCTTTGGCTTTAGCAGCACATAACAGGCACTCCTTTCCACCTAATATCGCATGCTGAGGGCTCCCGTGCTAATGTGTATATTCCGACCCGTATTTAATATCAGAGGGTAGTTACTGTCATCGTACGATCCGAACATTAGGTGGGGTATATCATAGTTCGATATCCTATCAAAATAGAACAAGAGCCGATTAACTTACTTGCAATAGCCGTAAAATTCATTCAAAGAAATTGAAAGCTAACTGAAATCTAAATACAGTGAATTTTGAAACCTAATTCAAATCGTCATGAAATAATCTAAATCCAGCCAATTTTAGATCAACCTGAAATCGTATTCAAACCAATCAAAACCTATTCAATATTTAGTTCCAATCCAACCCAACGCTAGTTAGAAAATGATCAAAATGAAATGAACTTTTAGTAAAGTCAAGTAAAAACGATTCACAATCGCAATAACACCAATTAAAGTCATATTCAGGTTTAAAGTAAATTCCCGTATAAGTCACATTCAGGAACAATCAAAAACAAGGAAATCAAGGAGATCCCTAATTCTTAAGAGTCATGCTAGGGATCCCCTTAATCCAGATGATCCGAACCCTATTTAAGTTTAGTCTAGGGGACAGATCTCAAGCTTTGGAAGTCTGGGAACCAGTTTTTCACATTAGGGCGGGGTTTAATATTAATTAGGAGGAACGGATTAGCAGTTTGTTTTGGCCATCGATGCAGAAATCTGTTTTGGGCAAGAAGCGCATGTAAGGGCAACTGCAAGAGGAATGCCAAACCCTATGCCCGAAGACATCTGACTAAGGCGCATCTCTACGAGGCGAAGCAGCTAGAAAAGGCTTGCCTCAACTTCATCAAGGAGAACCTCCCGCAGGTAGTTGGGCCGGGTTTCGAGTTGAGTTTTCAACTTAACAGTGCTATGTACGAATGTTTGAACCTTTCTTTTGATCCGCTTGAAGAAGAGGAACCTGAATTGGCTTGAATCTGTGTTCGAGTCTGATGGGCTTGAAAGTCCAGATTGCATGAGGAGTGTTCTGCGAGATTGGAAAGAGGGACGCAAACTTCTTGATTCACTTGGTATCGTGAGTGCCACTTTTGGGGTAGCTCATTCCTTTTGATTCTGGAAGTAGCGTATCCGTAGAAGGGGTGCCACGAAGAGTGCTGCACCACAGAACAAGCAGGCATCCTTCTATAGCCATCCGAAGTCTCCTCCGGCTCTCGGGACGGGGCTGGGGGTGGGGGGTATAGGCGGCTTAGGCCAGAACACTTCATTGCGAGAATCATACATTGAAGGCTATCATTTCCAAAAATCTGCTGCAAAAAGCCATGGTTAAATAGACATTCAAAGGAGCTTGCCCAGGAAAATCGAAGAACGTGGCTGAAAAGATCTTGTCTTGAACCACGCCATTTCTGTAGACGGTTTCTTGAAGGACCTGCAGACTTTCCTTGCTGACAGAGCCTCCCCCAAGTGCAAAACAGTCTTGGAAATGTACATCCGCTCATTTCAGTTGAGATTGGAAGATCGACACATGAGGGAGACCTCGTGCACCTGCCATGCAACCCTGATTGAAAGCAATCCGTCCGAACTTTCCAACGAGTAGCGCGCAGGGAGACGCCTAACAGTTCTGTTGACAACCTATCCATGCGAAATATGCTAGCCTGCTACACCCTCAAGAAGCGCACGCACCTGTGGAACTAAAAATTCATCACGTCGCTGCATGCAAATTTCGGGATCCGTTTTTACGGTGGCGTGGTTAAATGGCAGATGGACACTTCAAAAACAAGACGTATTGCTTCAAAGACTAACTGTTTTTGTTCTGCGACCGAACTAAACTAGGTTACAACAGTACCATGTGGAAATATGAGGCCCTCTACATTCGCACGGGGTTTGTCCTTTCATCTGAGAAGCCTTGCCCCCAGTCTTTGACCTCAAAGGTTGTGGCCACGCCTGACTATGGCAGAGGCTGCAAGGAGCCAACAGATGTCAAACTTGCTGTTAGTCGAAGGTGGGGAGCATGAGGTGTGGATTTTTTGGTGGTCAAGGGCTTGGGCATGTTGGACCCGTTGGGAATGAAGGTCCAGGTAATCGGGGCTTGTGCTTGCTTCAGCTTCTGTCCGGGCTTCTTCCAAACATTCCGTGGACATATCCTTTTTGCCCCAAAGCCTCCGTGAAGATCGAAAGGCTTGAATAATGGCTGAAACATATTGTTCGCTAGAATATTCACTTTCTTGTAGCACAAGATGCTCCAAGACCTTGTTCATATTTCATTACAGACATTGAATGTTGCAGGTGTCATTCATTTCTGCAATTCAACCTGGCACTTTTTCTGAACAAATGTCGGCTCTTTCTTTGCAGTTTTCATGCCGAGTGCCACAAGCGCTTCCGCCTGTCAAACCTACGGCAGTGGCTAACCAGTGATAGGAGGAGGGCTTCAACTTTCCGGTTCCAAGACCAGAGCAAATGGAAGGTACCAACTTTGCGTAGAACAGTCCGTTTTGAAAGGACTTTGGAGTAGGTGCAGGTGTCGGATGTTCATAACTGTTAGCAGATTGCGATACGTGCTACGCACTGCTCAGATATCTGTAATCCCAGCATGTCTGCAGGGCCTCGCGCTCCCAAGCCTTGAGCCGCACCCCGACCGGAAACTGCCCAACGCCACAAACAGTAGCAGCTGGAACAAGACAACTGTCAAAGTATCTGCAGGGGGTTCTAAATGCATCTTGCAACAACCAGCCTTAAATTGATGCGTGGCCCCGGATATTGAAGACCACAACCTGAGATCCTCACACTGAGCCACTAGGCCAAACGTTAAATCTCCAAACCTAAGCCCCCAGATCTTCGTAGCTAAGCCCACAGCCACCTCAGAATTTATCAGAGGAGTGGCCAGAGATCGTGCTGAAGATCAGCGCATCCCTGGCGTGCCTGGACGAGCGAACTGCGCACCCGGCATTCGAGGCCTCAAGTTTTTTAGGAAGTGTTGCAGGTTTCGTGGGTGCGTTGGAGCCTAGAGTGTTTGGTGAGAGGTAGGGCATGAGGGCTTAGACAGGTGAGGCTGCGGATGCTTAGAAGATAGCATTGAGAACAACTTCTCACAAGTTTGGTCGGGCAGCTTTCCAAAAGCACCTACTCCACTGGTGCCCCGGGCTGATGTTGCAGGACCTCTTCTCAGAGCCGCCAAGAAAACCGGCAAGGGTCGTTAAGACTATCCAATCTTGACATGCATTTGGCCTGGCAGCTGACTGCGTCCAAGGCCTTCCGAGCCCAGAAGCTGGAGAAGGCCGAGAAGTCCGAAAAGGCTTGGCTTCGGCTTTGTGCCTAAACCAAGAGTCGCTTTGGGGGTCCACTACTCGGGATCAAGTAAATATGGAAGAATTTTCAGAAAGGTCAAGTCTTGGGATGTTTTGGGCAGAAGATAGCTCGCAGTGCCAAGGGATTCTGCTTAGAAGCACTTTGAGTATGAGAACTTCTAAATCCAAAAGAGCAAGGGCTAGTCGCACCCCATGCATCTGCAAGAGTTTCCAGGAGAAGCCAGAGAAGGCCGAGAAGGAGAAGTATTGCATTATGCTTCGATCAGGGTTCACGCCCCTCATGGGGATCATAAGGGGTTGGACACCAGTGTATGAGCTTCTTCATGGGATTCAACTTCTACACTTGGGTCTTCTCCAGCAAGAAGTTCGAAGGCAAACCTAGCATATCACGGTTGCATCCATTTCAGACATTTCAGCGGGGGCTTACTGCCCGGATGTTCAGTGGCGGAGACACTTCTAGCTTTTTTCCGCTTTTCAGACGCTGCAGTGGGGCTTGTTACTGTATGTGCAGGGAGTTCAGAACCCAGAGCCTAATCCTTTGACCATAGGTCATGCGGAGCAGAAACTGGAATTTTGAAATGAGAGTCCATGCTTGTAACATTGTGTTCAATTCAATATGGCCAGGTTCCTGTATAGACCCTGAACCCTGAATCCCAAACCCCAACACGGTAAACCCTGAACCTGAACCCCAACCTCAGAACTGTAAACTCAGCAGCAGCAGCAGGCATTCGCTACTGATCTTTCAGACCTCAACTTGTACCACATTGATATAACAGTCCAAGAGATTGGTTGGTTGGTGCAATTTAAATGCATGGGGACCCAGTAGCTGTTGATGGAGAAAGCGCCCACGACCCAAAGTACACCAAACCAATAGGCTGTCTTGTCTGGCTTTGCAATCAACAGTACGAGTAGTCAGGATTAGATTAGCCCCCCCGCAGACTTGGGGCAAGGACAGTAGGGATCTCTGGCTACAGAAAGCTCTTATACTTATGCATGAGCTCTTCTCAAGGTGATAGAACTGATAGGAGGCATTCCCGTCAGGTTTTTTGGACTTCGGCATTCTTTTGGGATTGCAGTGGATGTTGTCCGCACGCTGAATGGGACTGTTTCCTGCTGCAGGGTGAGTTTCTTATCACAGTCATGTGAAGCCGCTTTTCAGGCCACTTTACAAGAACCGGGAACCCTCATTTTTCAGGCTGCGAAAGGGACCTAGTTTCAAGAACGACCTCCAGTTTTTCTTGCTGCGCACGGTGTGGAACAGAGGTACGACCAAAAGCGTTCATTGCAGCCGACAAAGTGGGAGTTTCTGAAAATTATGCGTCGTCATGAAGGGTGAGGGCAGGTGCATGTGAACCCATGCGCCACGAAACCCCAATGAACCCCAAAACAAGGAACTGCCCTAGATTATGGGGTATAATGGCTGCGGAAGTCACAAGAATTACAACAGCAAGGAACTGTCGTCATGGCTGTGACAATATCAGCAGAATTGGCAACGGAATTGAGCTTGAAACTTTTAAGACCCTGCCAAACTCTGGCAGATTTCCATTTTCCAAACCCCAAGCATCAAACCTTGAATTGCAAACTAGAACCCTGAACAAAGCCTGAGCCTTGTGAAAGTTGTGGGCAGGAGAAGGACAAGGCAGCCGAAAAAGCTCCTCCTGCAAAGAGGAAGCGAGGCTCCTGATGCCCAGGATCGAGGAACGATTTTCCAAAACCCCTTGGCTTCGGCCGGCTTGCAACTCTTACTAATGTTGTCAGGAATCCCTTGCAAATTGCAGGTAGAATCTCTCGTTATGGTTTCTAGAGCCTTTCTTCAAGGGGTTTTGGAAGATCTAGGGAGGTGGTCACCGTGGTCACACGCGGCAGGCTAATCCCCGTGCAGGACAAGAGAGACAAAAGACTTCCAAATCTCTGAAGTGAGGAATTTCGAGATGAGAGTAAGGAATCCTCTTATGATTCAGGAAATTCCTTGAGAGGCTTTGGAAGTTCTGTTGCTGTTTCCCGAAACACGGCATCCTCAGGCACCACTCCAAGAGCCAATCTTCCAATTTGAGCATTGAACACCGCTTTCCGGAAACCAGCACTCGACCGTGTGCATAGCAATGAGTGGGGAGACATCATAGCCGTGGAGGCAGTGCAAAAGAAGCGCGCTCAATTTTAAAGCTTCTTACCAAAAGTGTTACTATTGTCTTCGGAAAGTGTTCTGCTTGCTCTGCATATTTGCATTCCCAAGTCCCTCCAGCCTGAACCTCATTTTGTTCCCTTTAATAGCCGCACGCCCAAGTCAATACGTTTGAGGAATGCTTCCGTGTAGACTTCCAGCCTCAAGACGGGGCTTCCACATGGTCAGTCTTCTGTGCATCATTTGAAGGGGTTCGTGTACCGTACTACTCTGACAGCGCAAATTCCAAAATTTCAAAGGGCACTAGTGTTGCCTAAGCTGAAATACCGAAAGCCTGGTATGGCACAATGCAGCTTGGTGTCCATAAAAAAGGTAGGTGCGGTCTCGAAAGGACCGTCGATTCGAATGCCAACTTATGAGGATCATCCCAAATCGCGACACAGGCAAGTAACAAGCAGATAATGTCAGTTTCTGTGCTCTCAACAGCGCCACTTGCGTGGGGGAGCTCATGTCAGGCTGTCGGTTGTACATTGAGAGTCTGCAGTGCGCCAGGTATATTGTGTTGTTATTATTCCAAGGCTTCAGTTGTCCATCAGCAGCTGCACGGCTTCCTCTCTCAACTTTCACTGCGCTTTCGTGCAGCTTACTTCTGGTGGGGTTTTCATCCGCCTTGCCAAGCGTCTTCTTACAGCTTACTTCTGCGGCCCTGAAGCCGTGGCCAACCCTTAACGATTCGGTCATGTTTATTCAAGGGATCATTATAGAGAACCATTTCTCCCATTCGCGAGTAAAGGTAGCGATGTCCAGGCCTCATCAGGAAAACTGCAGAGTTCCCTTTCTGACCTGTTACGACGATTCCCTCAGACACATGCCAGAACAAGTCGCACTTAGGTCACAAAGTTCCATTCAGTCCGGCCTCCGCAATTGCCAATCCGTGACTATCTCTTCAGGAGCTGTGGATAGGTTTGCAATCAAGATTTAGATCTCAGGATTCTGTATTGATTTGAGAATTTCTTGTGGTTTGGGTCCCTGCTTTCTTTGTTGTGGCCCCGATCCTACAGATTCCATCATGTAGGGTTCACGACTCATGGTCGCGGGCTCAAGGTCTAGGCCCATCCACCGTACTTACCCACAATGCTTGTCACTACCTCAGTCTAGGCTTCACGTTTCCAGATGTACATCCTGGGTGAGAGGGTGTATGGATCGGGGTGGAGTTCTTCGAGTTTAGGTTTAGGTTCTGAGTTGGATGCTGATACTTCCCTGACCTCTTTGGTCCAGCTGCGAGAGGTGGGCTGGGGCAGCTCGATTTGGAATTCCGCATGGATCGTAATTAGAGATCCTAGAAATGTTTTGGCTAGTCACACACTCGCAAGCATGCAATAGCAATGCCCGAATGGTTATCATTCCTGCGAAATTCTTTCAAAATCAGTGCATAGCTTTTTTTTGGAGGCCCAGAAGCTTCTTTGAAGTTTTTAGACCGGAAAATGATGCACCGTTGGCTGGGCCCATGGCTTGGGTTCAAGGCCTTTGACCATGCAATTCAAGTTTGCGTCGGCGCCAGGGTCTCTCGCGAAATTTTGGATTCTTGGATGTTTTGATATCTAGGAAGATGGTTTTCTGGGGGAGCCTTTTCTTGATTGTTTTTCGCGTCAGCCAAGATATGGCAGGCTCAGATACGGAAAATGTGGCCCCAGATTTATTCGGAGCCGTACCTTCGGGCTTACGCTAGGGCTTGTATTTTGCTTTTGAGGCTCTCTGAGGCCATCAAAGCACGTGGGATTGAAGCTTTAAGGCTTTAAGCGTGGGATCTAGACAGTTTGAAACATGTTGGAGGCTCGTGAGTATGATTTGCAGTTTGCAGTGGCCCAACGATATGGTGCAATACGCAAGTCGCTCTGTGAACTTTTTGGAGTTTGATGCACCTCCCTCTGATTTATGGAAAGCTCCTCGCAGTGCTGGGCTGCGGTGGTTGGTTTTGGGCTGAGGAATCAAGGTACCATCCCGGCACAAGGTGCACAAAAGTAGCCAGCCAGGCTTGCTAAAGGACCCCCGCAGAGTCTGTAGGAGCGGGGAATGCATCAAGTGATTTGCATCTTTGCGTGCTGGCGAGGATTGCCAAGTACTTTCAGTGCAGCCGCGAATGCTTTGTGCAGCTGGCCTGGAAACTGATTGGTGTGGGTACAGGAAAGAGCCTGAATGACTTCAACCTTGTTTTGCTACGACGCCGATATACGTCCAGCATGCTAGGCCCCACGCCCCATTCCGCGCAATGAGAAAAACAAGCTTTGGAGCTTCCCGTGTCTTGAAATCCTAAACTCAACTCCAAACCATCACCTAACACAACGCCTGAGTTTCATGCTGTTCACCGAGGCTGTGCTTGGTGTATATTGACAGAATCGTGAAGCTACACCCGGACTTCACGATATGCAGCCTGAACATACACAGGCACGCGGTGTTGAGAGATATCTCTACGCAGGGCCCTGTTCGGATCTTTGGAGTCTCATTTTTGTATCGCTACCCTTGCTGTGCTTGTCCTAGTACAACAAGGATTCCCGCCGTGGTTCTTTTTGCTGTAAGGTTTTTGTTCTTGTACGCGTACGACTGCCAGGTTGAGCCGCCGTCTATAATCCCTACACTGCTTGTATGCCATGAGAATCCTGCATCTTCCATGAGTTATGTATAAAGCACCCTGACAGTTCCCATGACCTTCCTTAAGCCATCCCTACCCCAGTATGAGCTACCAGCGTGTTCGTACCATGCATTCCATGCTTATCACACAGCCCCGCAAAAAGCAAACCAAAGTCCCTGACAGTAGCCTCAGTGAACGACCCCTGCGAGGTTGCTTGTGACCAGCGTGATGCTGTCAGTGAAATTCTTCGACGATGTATATTACAGCGGCCCGGAGCTGTCAAGTTTCGGAGTACAGGTCCAAGATTGTGGGTTTTAGACCTGAAATTATGGGGTCCAGGTTCAGGGTTAGAAGTTCAGGGTGTGGATTTATGGGATTACCAGTGCAAGCTCGAGATTTTAGGGGTTTAGGCAGGTTTCCGGATTGGACAAGTTGTGATCGGGTAGCTCGACGCATTCTGGCCAGGACTGCATGATTCTTGAAAGCACTTGTTCAGGGCTCTATATTTAGCACGGTTCCTTGAGCTTGGCTTGCTGGTCTCAGAAGGATCGTACACCCTATCGCTCTATCCCGTACATACTGTTGAAGGGACCGCCACAAAGCTTTGTAGTAGGGATCAGGTAGGAATGTTCCACGGCTGTGCGGACTTCACTGTGAACACTGCGGGTTCTTGTGGAGACATTCAGAAGGGAAAAGCAAGAGCATCAACCTGTACAGTGATTCGGGTTCAAATCCCAAAGATCCTGACTCTGAATCTGTAAGCCCAAAGCCTTGAGCCCTTCTGTATTACTGTATTTGGCCCCATGCTAGTTTGGGGGATGGTAGCCGCTAAACCAACTCCATATCTTGCCACAACGTTCCTTCGCGGTCCTTCGTCTCTTTTGCTCTTGTCGACAAATGTCCGTGAGCCAAGGCAATGCCTACTATGCGAAGGCACAGGGTGATTGACAATTTAGGGTTTAGTAGTTTAGGTTTTAGGGGTTTCAGGTTTAGGGGGGCCCAAAGATTTGAATCAGCATTTTTGTGCCATTTAGGGGTTGACAAACTTCTTGACATGGGGTACAAGTAGCGGCTGTACAGGGATGTTTTTGGATTGTATGGGGGAAATTTTTATTGGGTTGATCGGAGTGATATTGGATTATGATAAGGATGCCAGTAAAGGCTTGCTTGCAATAGATGTCACATGGATATCATCGTGGTGTTTTACCAGGGTGTTGAGTAGACCCTTCTTCCATTTTTGGGGGTCTAATTCTCAAAAAATGCTATATTCAAAAAGAGGGACCTGTTTAGTCCTGCTCACTGGGGATCCTAGTTACAGTTGACAACAACTATATCCAGATTTTGGGAACTTGCGGGTAGTGACTTGAAGTGCATATCTCATCTTACTTCTTTTAGAGTATGGAGAGTTTGCTGTCCATCAACAAAGTGCCTGAAACCTCGCATTCTAATGACACGCAGCTTGATATGTTTATCCCACCCGCATCCACATAGTAGGAACTGCAGCAAGCGGGTAGGGACGAACATGTGCACCTTAATGGCCGTGCGCTTCCTCTTCCACAATAATCTGTCGAGCCGCACAGGCACGGGTCGAATAGCAGTATGTAAAGATCGCGCGATCTGATTTTCCTGGGTTTCCGAGAGATACAACTCAGCGGTTGTTGTGCTCTATCAGGCAAGGAGCTCACGTAGTTATCCGAAGAAACCCCTCTCCTCAAAGTGTTTAAGATTGATGTTTGTGACTAAAAGCTCTGCGCCTCGACGCTTTCTACCAGTAGTATGCTTGTGACGGAAATACAGCTTTCGCAGAAAATGCAAAAGATCTGAATTAAAATGCAAAAGATGTGAATTATTCAGACCGTCTCAATGGTTTCAGCAACGGCACATAGATCCGCCTAGTAGGACAGCAGTGAGGTTCCATGTTGGCCGGTTTTTAGGAGGTGGGCAAGGGGTTTGCTCCTGGATCCGGAAGCCATGAGCCATGACCGAAGCTTGCTCATAGTCTAAGCTTGAGGAGGCTCTCATCCTAAACCCTCAAGCCAAAAGGCCAAAGCCCAAACAACGCCCAAACCTTGAAGCCAACACCGTCAGCTTCTTTTTCTTGCAGGTGGGAGGCGTCAAGACCCGAGAGGTCAACATCTTAGAGGGGCAATTTCTCCAGCTTATCGAGTGGAAGCTTCATGTGACTCCAGAGGACGGGCGGGATTGCTGTTGACTTAAGTCCTCTGTCAAAGGTCTTCAGGAATGCTAAGGTTCCGGAAGGAAGAAGCGTGACACGGGAGTTTCTCAAATAATCCCTGCTGAGTCCTCGGGGGCTCACCCCAATGTCCCTGCAAGGCCATAAATATCCCACAGGTCCTGTTTTGTGCCAGAAGCTTTACTTGATCTTATGGACCATCTGAACCCCACCAGATTCAATTCTGCGTAGCGTTTTAACACCCGTTGGTAATACAGGAGGTGACTTGTAGAGTGTTTTGAGTATGCTTAGTGTGCAATAGCTATATAAAGATTATCAAGCAGTATCAGCAACTATTAACGTTGAATCATGCGGCTCTCGTATTTGGAGAGGGGCAGCTGTTGGTGTGGTTCCTCTGGATACAGGGGCGGCACAACAGGCCAATGAAGTTTCCTACTGTCCTTGCATATCTATCGTTTACTTTCCAACATGCTTGAAAGCGGTACCCTCACATGTGTTATCTCATCAAAGAGGTGGCTGCTAGCCGGACACTTGCAGGTCCCTGAAATGAGAGATCCCACTTCTTGCTCTTAACGGGATTTGGTTACAGGCGTCTTCAGGTGTAACTTAAGTGGGCTGCAACCTGTGCAGGAGTTCGATCAGTATAGGGCCCACGTCTGCAACGCATCTGCCGCTGGGCCCGGAATTAATGCTTGACGGTAGAGGTTGCAAGTTTGCACCGAGGGTCTGCACTAGCTTTATAGCCTGCAGATTTGCCGCGATGTAAGAAGGGCCCTGGGTTCACATGGCTCTAGGAGTTTTGACGGCTTTGCAGGCTTCGTAGCATGTATCTCAAGAACATACAAACAACGCGAGGGCTTGCCTTTCTGCTTGGACAGGAGGCTTGGCAAAACAAGGTTGAAATACTTGCAGGGTGAGTCTCTCTGTCTCTCTCCCTCCCTCTCTCTCTCTCTCTCTCTCTCTGGTGTGGGAGTCTGAAATGTGCCGCGACCATTGCTGTGTCCTGCCTTCGCAGGTGACGTGTAGGATGCATCATATGCCTCAAGGCCATCTTTTTGATTTTTGAGGAAACTTGATTGCTGAGATTAAATTTGTTCACGGCTATCCCTTTTTTTGTGACCCCATACATGAGACTAAAACCCGTTAAGTTTTCAAGTTTAGGGTGCTTAGAGTCAGGCAGGACTATTAATGAGTGTCAACCTTAGGGACATAAATCCAGCACTCCATACTCAACTGCCTGGAAGCTGAGGGAACCCCTGCTGCCTCCAGGCCACAGCTCCCAGTGTTCAGCTGTAAGGTTTGAAAAGGGTCCTAGGATTGAAATAGACAAAAAGGGTTGTGGGCTTCGGATTTAAGGTCTTAGGGATGTGAATCTGGACGAGTCACGGTTTTGATTACAGGTTGGGACATTTGGATTTAGGGATTGAAGATTGACATTGCTAGGCCGCAACGGGGAAGGGCTAGCGGTTGCCAATTTCATATCAGAATTGTTCAGGGGTCATGAAGGGACAGTATTTGCGTTTTTTTATGTTCAAGTCACTCTTCTCTGGTTCGAGTGAAATACAAGGGGAACATGCACGGATGCCCTGTCAAACTTAAAGGTCGGATCAGTTGGATCGATCTTTTTCAAAACACGTGTTTGTGAGGCCCTGGCATGTCTGCTTGGATTTTTTCAGGAGCAATGGGTTAATGGCTTGCCGCAGGGACAGGTCTTGCTAATCAAGTGCTATGCACGCTTCAGAGAGCTTGTAAATTATTAAGAAGTTTTTCGGGCTTGAAGGTTTTCTCTTCAGCAAATTGGCTTTAGAGCCTAGTCCAACACCCTCTTTGGACTTCAACGGAGCATGTTGTCTTCAACTCTTGTGGTCTATGACTACTTGTGCGCGTGAAGACGAGATTAGAAGACAAAAATCGGTCCCTCCGCCCCCCCCGAAGAAGAAATTTGAAAACGAAATCATTCCCGAAGACACAATGTTCCCTGGAGACGTGATCTGCCCGCGAACAAGCTGCGTGACGACGAAACTTGCAGGGCTTCGGACTGAAGACAAAATTCCGTGTCAAAGACAAAAGGAGACAAAATTCTGAAAGTCGCCCCGAGGCCACAATTCGACCCCGTGTAAAGAAGACAAAAATGGGCTCCGAAGACGAAATTTGGTCCTGAAGACGGAAGGGAATTTGTCATGGGCATTTGAGGCGTCAGGGTGCAAGCGTGCTGAAATAGTGTGCCGAATTAGGTGTCCGAGTTGCGGCTTCAGGGAAGTTGAGCACCCAATTTAGGTGTCAGGAGCATTTTAGGTGTCAGAGCCCACGTGAATCCAATCTGGGAGCGCCGAATATACATGTCCCGGCGAGCGAGACCCTCGTGGGGTTTCGCAAAGCTCTGTGCAGAATTCAGGCTTCAGGATAATAGTAGGATCGACTTTAGGCGTCAGGCGCATTTTGTCCGTGCGCCGAATTAAGGCGTCAGGGGCATTTTAGGCGTCAGCCCAGTTCCATCATGCAATAGAGGCGAAGAATTCGAGCGTTAGGTAAATTTAGGCCTCACCGAAGACGCGCTGAATATGAGCGCCGAGTTCAAGCTTCAGGGCGGGGGGTCGAAAAGTGGACCCCCTTCCCCGGGCCTTGTGCTGAATGGAGCTCACCGTTTGTTTATGTGTTAATGCTGGAGGGATGCCGTGAGCAACTGCTCACAAGGCAGAGTCCAATATATGGAGTAAGCCCAGGACGGTGTAAGGTTCAGGGTTAGGATTCAATTGATGTGGCTAGAGTGGACTTGCTCTATTGCGAGTAGCTTAGCCCCGCTTTTCCAGTGTAAGGCTACTTATGATTCCGCGATGTCACAAGAAGGTAGTCCCTGAAATAGAGAAGCTGGCTTTCAGAATTAAGAGTCTCTTATGGGACGGGTAGAAAAATTGTAACCTAATGCTGTGAATTGTTCAAAACTTAAACGTAGTAAGCCAAGCCAGACCTGACTGCCTCAGTCCAGTGTGCAGATTTTGCAACACAAGCATGTTTAGCTCTCTGTGTACAGTAAATGAAGCCTCAATCCCAAACCCTGAGCATGACAACCCAGCAATTCTTACACGCCCCAAGACTTACAGACAACAGAGCTTATGTTTTGGATCCAGGGTTGACGATTTCGGCTTTAGGTTTTGAGACCTTAACATTTCTACAGCGATTCGAAGATTCTGAGAAGGGGCGAGGAATCAAGGTTTTCGTTGTGAATCTTAGACCCTGGACATGCACCCTCAATCTTCAACCCTAAAACTCTCACGCCTAAATGCGCAAGGCCCCTTGAAAATGGACCCGTGGAGGAGGAACAGGAGGATCGTGCAATGGCAGTGTGCTAAGGCAGGGCATACTATGTTTTCTGTGTGTGCGCAGGCTTATGTAGGAGTAGGTGAGGCTCATGCAAGGATTTGGATACAGAGATTGTGCGTTTGAGGTTTTAGAGCCGTAGGTAAGAAGATCTTCTGTGCAACAGTGTCAGGTCTCGCATGGAGGGAGCTCTGAAAATGATGGGGCTTGTTTTCAGGCGTGTCCGTTTCATAATGACATGCTGTTGGGGACTATGTCGGCCCAAATTTTGATACGTGCCCTTATGACACCCATCATGTTTTTGGCGGCTCATCTTCTGCGTCGCTGATGTGTTGTTGCCTGCTCTCAATCAAGGACAGGGCTTGGGGGGTTACAGTTTAGATTTTTCAGTTTTTCCAAAAGAGGACAAAGAGGACTCTATTGAGCTGTGTGTTTCCAAAAGAGGACAAAGAGGACTCTATTGAGCTGTGTGTTTCCAACAGAGGACAAAGAGGACTCTATTGAGCTGTGTGTAGATCGCCTAGCCCTCGTTTTGATCCATTGCCACGTGTACTTCTAGCCGTTTCGTTCCAGCGAGCCTTTTGAGCTTTTGCAGAAAACAACGCGCAATCTTGCAGAAATTGCAGTCGCAGGGCATTGTAGACCTACCCAGTAGATGTGTTGCACGCAGACTGCCCTGGAAATCACCATTCGCGTCGTGGTCACGCTTAATGGGAGACTTTCTGACCAGGCAGTGTCAGTCAAGTTTTACAGTTTTAGCAGAGGCATGCATCCTACGGCTTGCCGCTGATGGCAAAGTGCCATAGCTGTCAACAGAGGAACTATGCCAAGTTTTCACGGTCCTCAGGAGCCCATTCTCATTTTCTGGGACCCATACCCCTTATCCTCTCTCCCAACACCCCCAAACGTCTCCATCCAAGAAGGCAGACGTCCAGATGCCGCTGATCTTGGCCGCAAGCAAGGGGCCGCAGGAGGGAGCTACCCAACCCGGGTGACATGGGTCCCTTGTTTGGGGGCTTGCATAGGGGTTTGAGACTCGAGACGTGCGTAAAGAAATTTGGCACCATGCTAAATGCGCCCAGTAGTGGGAAGAATCACAGTCCAGATTCACCTCGTAGGTTGTTCATGGTATTCTCCATGTACAGTACACCTATCAACGGTTACATAGACACGGGAAGCATTCTTTGGTCCTGGAGCCAGGTTTGCCTCAAGGATCCTCAGGGACCATATGGGTTGAGCGTACGGGATCATCCGTTGACATATGGTTGGTAAGGGTTGTTACTGTTATTGGCATTGCAGCGTGTAAGCGGCAGGAAGGGCATGATGAAGAGAGGTATCCGAAGTGAGAACATGCGAGTCTCGGAAAGTTGTGTGTTCTTTTGGAAGTATCGAAAGAATCTGAAAATTCCTGGGACCCTAAACCCCGCTTCATCACTCAACTCTTGTGTTTGCGCCAGGATCAATCGGAGCCCTTAAGGTTCAGGGGTCGAGGGTTTGGGGTAAGGCATCTCACGGCGGAAGGTTTCTGGTGTTTTCACGCTTTGTGAGGGTGGCTGCCTCCAGCACACCCGACCCTTGATCCATTGCTCCTCCTTCATGATTCCGCTTGACCTTGGTAGCCGCCGGTACCACTTGCGCGGGAGATCAACATGTCCAGTAGCCTTGCAATCGAGTCTGAG